AGGGATCTGCCTGGGAAAGCAGGGATGCAGCTGGGGACCAGGGATCCACCTGGAGCACCAGGGACTGAGTCACCTGGAGCACCAAGGACTGATCCTGCAGGAGCACCAGGGATGGATCCAGCCCTCTGCCCCCAGGGACTGCACACCTGCCGTCTGCAGGTTCTACACCCCAGGACCCCTCCTCTGCCTCCTCCAAGCCTGTTGTGGCAGGGAAGCAGCACTGCCTCCTCTTCCTCCTCCAGCCCAGCCCTGCCTGCCCCGGGGCTCCCCAGGCTCAGGCCACCCTGCTGGCCTGTCCCTTGTCCTGGCAGCCCCAGGCAGAGGATCCAGCTGAGGCCAAGGAGGGAATGTTTCACTCCAGAGAGCCCTAAACAGGAGTGAGGACCCAGCGGAGGCCAGGGAGGGAATGTTTCGCTCCAGGGAGCCCCAAACAGGAGTGAGGACCCAGCGGAGGCCAGGGAGGGAATGTTTCGCTCCAGGGAGCCCCAAACAGGAGAGGACCCAGCTGAGGCCAAGGAGGGAATGCTTCACTCCAGGGAGCCCCAAACAGGAGTGAGGACCCAGCTGAGGCCAAGGAGGGAATGTTTCACTCCAGGGAGCCCCAAACAGGAGAGGACCCAGCTGAGGCCAAGGAGGAAATGTTTCCCTCCAGCTGCCAGTGCTGCTCTCATGAATGCAGCCTGGAGCAGAGGGGACACTGCCAGCTCCCCCTGAGCTCTGGGCTCCAGGGCAGAGCTCAAGTGCCCAGATTTTACCCTCAGTGGGCAAGGCTCTGCACTCCCCAGGGCTAGAGCCCAGGGCTGCTCTGGGGCCGTTACTGGCCAAGCCCTGTGAATGGCAGCCCTGGCACTGTCCCCAGCTGTCACCCACCCCCCAGCACATCCCCCTGCTGAAGTGCCTGGATTTTACCCTCAGTGAGCAAGGCTCTGCACTCCCCAGGCTAGAGCCCAGGGCTGCTCTGGGGCTGTTACTGCAGCTGGCCAAGCCCTGTGAATGGCAGCCCTGGCACTGTCCCCAGCTGTCACCCACCCCCCAGCACATCCCCCTGCTCACAGGGTGGCACAGCACAGCACCAGGCCACGGACTGGGCCAGAGCAACGGGGCCAGGGGGGCTTGGAGCAGCTGGCCAGGCTGCCCTTCCTGAAAAAAACCCCAACACCTCCTGCCCTGCAGTGACCCCAACACCTCCCACTCATCACCACCTTCCAGAGAGCTGAGGGGCTTTTTGTGACACCAGCCATCCCAGCACCCCCAGACACACCTGGCCAGCCCTGTGCACTGGGGTCTGTCCAGTTCATCCCAGCTCTGTCCCTGGGCTGTGTCCAGCTCATCCCAGCTCTGTCCCTGGGGTCTGTCCCTGGGGTCTGTCCCTGGGGTCTGTCCAGCTCCCTTTCCTGACCCAGTCCAGCCCTGTGCACTGGGGTCTGTCCCTGGGGTCTGTCCCTGACCAGCCCTGTGCACTGGGGTCTGTCCAGCTCATCCCAGCTCCCTTTCCTGACCCAGCTCAGCCCAAGCTCCTCAGGGCAGGAGGAACATTCCAAAGCACTGTGGGGTTACCCCACTCCTGCCCAGCTGAAGCTGCACTCCTCTTTCTGCTCACTCTGAACTGATTATTTGGGTTTCATACAGCAGCTCAGTCAGAAGGGGCCTCCAAAGATCAGCTGGCTCAGCTCCTGTGGGAAGGGAGCCCAATTCCCAAAGAGAAGCAGACAGCAGAGTTAACAGTGCTGCAGCACCCACGGCTGATGACCAAACCCAGGGGCTGCCCTCCACCCCCAGCCCCTTCCTGGCTCCCTGCACGTCTCATCTGGAGCCACCAGGGCAGCTCTGCCATCACATTTTCATTCCTGTGCCAAGCCCCCTTGACTGCCTGCTGCCCAAACCCCACCTCCAACACGAACATTGAACAGCATTTCTGAGTTATTTCATGGAGTGAGAAGCTACCACTCCTTCACACGCTCAGCTCTGGACCCCTGGAAAAGCACTGACTATCCCCTGGTTTTTCATTTATGCTTTATTTAAACCACACTTCCAAGAGCTGCACTTTGCACCCCACTGTCCTCCAGTTTTTAGGAAAATGCTCATTCCTATATCTTCCCACCACTGAAATAAAAGGTACCTCTGGCAGCAGGTACCTTAGTCTGCTACTCCTACTTATCCTTACAAAAGAAAAAGCAGAATTTCAAGGAATTGTGGCCATTCTGGCATGTAGCCATCAATTTGCAGCATTTAAGAATGAAAACCAGAAACCTGATCCTTCTGGGTCTCATTTGTCACATCAAGTTTAGCTAAATGCAGACCCAAAAACTTGTTAGGGCAGGGCTTAAACCCTCCTCACATCAAAAACAACCTGAGGGAGGAAATGGCCAAAGCTGACAAAGCTGATATGGAGTGGTACAGGCAGTAAGAGGCCTCAGTCTGTGGGTTACAGAATTCCTCCCCCTGTTACACTCTGAAGCCCAGAACACCTTTAAATCACCATAAACTGGGACATCACTCCCAGCCTCTGCTCAGTGAGCAAAAACTTCAGGGAAGTGTTGAGAGGTTTTTAAAGCTAATTTGAACCCAAATCCATTGTAAATCTGTGCTGGCTTCTGTCACAAGGTGTGACAAACCCCCCAGAGGGCAGGACGGGTGAGCAGGGCACAGCAGCACAGGGACTCCGGGCTGCTGCTGGAGTCAGCATTCCCCTGGGAAAGGGCAGCCTGGAGCTCCCAACAGAGCTGATCCCCGTCAGTGAGCTGAAATCAGCCCAGGATGGACAGGGGCACGCAGCAGAGGGGTCAGGGCAGCAGAGGCTGAGCTGGGCTCAGCTCCAGCTGGGACTGCCAGCGCTCAGCTCGGGTTGTCAGAGCAGCACCCACAGCCAGGGCAACACAAACACACCGGGCAGCAACGGCACGGGAGCAGCAGCACCCAAAATGCACCAGCTGAACGGGCCTGGGCCGAGCAGAGCCCGCTGCTCCAGGAAAGGAGCTGAAATCACTGCTCTGCAGCAGCCCAGCCTGGAACCCTGGCTGGGAACTGCCCTGAGACTGCTCTGCAGGAATGCATCTCTGTTTGGATGCACAGGACGAGCAGCAGTGCAGGATGCAGCCTGCTGCCATGGCAAGCTGTCCCTCCTGAGAGCAGCCAGGGCAGCTCCTGCTGCTGCAGGAAACTGCACTGAAGCTGCACTGAGGGCCACGGCCAGCAGCCAGCCTTGCCTTTAGGGTGTCCCAGCCATTCCCGTGGCTGCTCCCACCCTCTGCTATTTGTCCTGGTAAGGCTGAACCTGCACCAGCCTGTCCTTCCTGCAGGGAATGTTTCTAGAAGTTGGTAAGGCAGCTACCTCAGGATTCACGTGGCTGCTGCACCTCTGAGCCCCCTCCTGGCTCTGGGGCTGTCACACCTCGGGATTTTCCCTCTGAGAACAGGGGACAGTCACCACCAAGTGCCAGAGCCACACAAGGACCTGCCCAATGCCCTCAAAGGTGCCAGCTCAGCAGGACACTGGCTCTCGAGGGACACCACTTCCAGGAATCTGCCCCCAGGCTCCAGCAGGGATCTGAGCACAGCTGAGTGCACAGAGCTGTGGGTGAATCCTCCACGGAGAAAAGGAGGCTCCAGGGAGACCTCCAGCACCTCCCAGGAGTTAAAAGTAACTTTTAGAAAAGAAGAACAACTTTTTACACTGGCAGATACTGGAAGGACAAGGGGGAAGTGCTTTAAATTAAAAACTGAGGGATTTAGACGAGATTTTGGGAATAAATCCTTCCCTGCCAGGTGGGCAGGCCCTGCACAGCTGTGGCTGCCCCTGGAGCCCTGGCAGTGCCCCAGGCCGGGTCAGAGGGGACTTGGAGCAGCCTGGGACAGTGGGAGGTGTCCCTGCCGTGGCAGGGGGGCACTGGGTGGGTCTGAAGCTCCCTTCCACACACACAAAGCACGCTGTGACTGCCGAGTGCAGCCCCCGGCCCTGAGTGCCCTGCAGGCCAGGGGCTCAGCCAGCTGCACTCCCCGCGCGGGGCAGGCCCGGGAACAGAGCAACCCATCGTTATCAGCCTGAGGTTAGCACTGCAACAGCACACCGCCTTCCCCCGGGCACAGGGCAGGGGAGCCAGCGTGACCCTTCCCCCGGGGACACAGCAGGGCACCGGGGACCGGGGACACCGAGGGGCCGGGCCGGGCTCGGGCCCTGCTGGGCGGCCGGGAAGGGGCTCGGGCCAGCCGCCCGCCCGGGGAGGCCCGGCAACAGAGCAACCCATCGTTATCAGCCTGAGATTAGCACTGCAACAGCACACCGCCTTCCCCCGGGCACAGGGCAGGGGAGCCAGCGTGACCCTTCCCCCGGGGACACAGCAGGGCACCGGGGACCGGGGACACCGAGGGGCCGGGCCGGGCTCGGGCCCTGCTGGGCGACCGGGAAGGGGCTCGGGCCAGCCGGGTCTCCCTTTCCGGGTGGGCTGACCCCTCTCACGGGGCAGGAGGTGACACCGGCCGGGTGCCCCAGCCCCAGCAGGACGGGGACCCGGCGTGAGGGACCCGGCGTGGCGCGGGCACACGGGCACGCGCACACGGGCACGCGCACACAACCGCTCCGGTCGGTGAGCGGCTGCTCCCGCCCGACCCCGCGCTCACCTGAGCCCGCTGCTCCTCCTCCTCCTCCTCGTCCTGCTGCTGCTGCTGCTGCTGGCCGTGCTCCATGGCAGCGGGCCGCGTGTCCCCGTGTGTGTCCCCGTGTGTGTCCGTGTGTCCCTGCGTGTCCCCCGGTCCCGCTCTCCGCCCGGTCGCCAGGGACTCGCGCTCGCGGGGCTTTTGGCGGGCAGCGGAAGTGCCCGGATGGAGGCGGGGGCGGGGCCGGCGGTGACCGTGAGGGACCGTGAGGGACCGTGAGGGACCGGGCCGGACAGGATGGACCTGCCAGCGGCTCCGACACCTTCCGCTGCCCGGGGAGCTCCGCCCAGCCCGGCCGGGGACACTGCCGGGGATCAGCGGCTGCTCCCGCCCGACCCCGCGCTCACCTGAGCCCGCTGCTCCTCCTCCTCCTCCTCGTCCTGCTGCTGCTGCTGCTGCTGGCCGTGCTCCATGGCAGCGGGCCGCGTGTCCCCGTGTGTGTCCCCGTGTGTGTCCGTGTGTCCCTGCGTGTCCCCCGGTCCCGCTCTCCGCCCGGTCGCCAGGGACTCGCGCTCGCCCCGCGCGCGCACGCGCCGGAACCGCCCCCCTCCCCGCGCCGCCATTGGCCAGCGAGGGGGGCGGGGCCGGGGCGCGAGCTCCGCCTCCCGCGCGGTGATTAGCGGCTCCGACACCTTCCGCTGCCCGGGGAGCTCCGCCCAGCCCGGCCGGGGACACTGCCGGGGATCCGGGGGCAGCCGCCGGCGGTAACGTGTGCCCGGAAAGCTGCCCGTAATGTCCGGTCCGACAGGATCAGCATCGCGGGGCTGGAAAAGCCCCTCCGCACGCGCCAGTCCCAGCTGTGCCCGATGTCAGCAGCCCCGAGCCCTGGGTGCCGCCTCCAGCCCCTCCCGGGACGGGCACTCCCGGCCTGCCGGGCAGCCCTGCCAGTTCCAGCCACCTCTCCTGAGAATAAAACCTTCCTGCCGCTTGTGTCCTAACCCTGCCCTCTGGCACTGGGAGCCATTCCCCGTGTCCGTCCCTTGTCCCTGTCCAGCTCTGCCGGAGCCCCTTGGTGGTGGATGGACACTGAAATCAGGGATTTTGCGGCAGCCCTGTGTTAGCAGGAAATGAGGTGGGATTGTCCTGCGTGGGAATTCCGTTCATCTCACTCCCGAGCTCTCCAGGGCAGTGGGGGTCTCTGCTGGTCTGTCAGGAACCGTTCCCAGCTGGGCTCAAAGGACAGACCCAGGGTTTGGGGAGATGCTCCGTAGTCTGGGCAGGTGGGGAAGATGAGATGAACCTCTCCGTGGACAGCTTTGGATCTGCGTGTCAGTCCTGCATGGATCCCTGAAATCCTCCATACTTCCTGATCCCTGAATTCCTGATCCCTGAAATCCTGCATGGCTCCCTGATCCCTGCCATCCTCCATGCTTCCTGATCCCTGAAATCCTCCATAATTCCTGATCCCTGAAACCCTGCATGGCTCCCTGATCCCTGAAATCCTCCATGTTTCCCTGATCTCTGAAATCCTCCATAATTCCTGATCCCTGCCATCCTCCATGGCTCCCTGGTCCCTGAAACCCTCCATGCTCCCTGATCCCTGAAATCCTCCATGGCTCCCTGATGCCTGACATCCTCCATGGCTTCCCAGTCCCTGCCATCCTCCATGGCTCCTGATCCCTGAAATCCTCCATGGCTTCTTGAACCATGAAATCTCCCATGGCTCCCTGATCCCTGAAATCCTCCATGTTTCCCTGATCCATTAAATCCTCCATAATTCCTGATCCCTGCCATCCTCCATGGCTCCCTGGTCCCTGAAACCCTCCATGCTCCCTGATCCATGACATCCTCCATGGCTCCTGATCCACTGAAATCCTCCATGCTCCCTGATCCCTGCCATCCTGCATGGCTTCCCAGTCCCTGCCATCCTGCATGGCTCCCTTTCATGTGCCCTGAGGGAGGAGCTCTGCGTTCCCCCTCCACAGCCACACCTGATCCAGCGGGAGCTGTCCCTGCCCGTGACGAGGGGGTTGGGGCTGGGTGGTTTCCGGGTCCCTTCCATCCCAACCCATCCCAACCCTGGCTCTGTGATAAGCTCTCCCTGAGGCATTCAGGCACTGGTTAACACTCCGAGTTTCAGCTGGGGCCAGCAAGGGGAAAAGAAGGAATTTCCCGTTAAAAGCAGGATTTGAGTTATTTCCTATGGCTTTTGGCTCCCCTGAAGCTGCAGAGCAGGTGACAGTAGGGGCAGCTCTGTGACCTGACACTGCCAGCCCTGGGACAGGGACAGAGCCCCAAAGCCATTGGGCTGTGACACTGCCAGCCTTGAGCTGTGACACTGCCAGCCCTGGGACAGGGACAGGAGCCCCAAAGCCCTGGGCTGTGACACTGCCAGCCCTGGGCAGGGACAGGAGCCCCAAAGCCATGCAGGTTGCAGTGGCAGCCCCTCAGCCCCTCTGCCCCAGGCCCTGAGCCCCATCCCTGCAGTTACACGCTCCTGCTGAGGTGTCAGCAGTGCATGGTCAGCTGCAGGCTGCCAGCTCTGAGCCCAGACAATAAATAACTGCACCAGCTTCCACCCTCCGTGAGAAGGGAAGCTGCAGGAACTGGAAAATAGAGGTACTTCCAGAGCATCTCCTTCTCCTGAGTCCTTCATTCTGCTGGCAGCAGCTATCGGCCCTGTATCCAGCAGAACATCTCCCAAAAGGCAGCGTCTGCGCTGGCTCTGCAGTGATCTGGGGGTTGTTTTTCAGCACCAGATAAATGTGAGTGTTCAAATACAGCAAGGCAAACATTCCTTAAAATAATTAAGATGCTGACAAGAAAATGCAGCTTGATATTCAGAGCCCTCTCCTGTTGCAAATCCAATTGGATGCGTTGGGCTCAGCCTGTCCCAGCGCTCGTCTGTGCACATCCCTAAAGCCATCCATCCCCTCGCAGCTGACGGGAGAGGCTGAAGGGAACAGCAGGCGGGGTGCCTGCCTGGGGGCAGCAGAGGCAGCAGGCACACAGCAGATCCCGCTGGAAGAGGCAGCAATCCCATCCTTTCTGTCCCTGGCAGCCGGCTGGGATCCAGGGCCGGCTCCCGCTCGCTCCAGCGGCCGAGGGCGAGCCGCTGAGCGCGGCTGTGGTGCTGAGAACAGCTCCGGTGGCACCCCGAGGAACCTGCCGGGGACCGGAGGGCTCCTCTCGTCGCACAAACCCGAAATTCTGTCACTGCCTTTATTTTTAGCAGAGCAATTCACAGGCAGGGAGGGGGGGAGGAAGGGTTGGCTGAGTGTTTATCGCTCGCACATCACACAGGAAGCTGTTCACATTTTTATTAATTGACTAACAATATCCAGAGACTTACTCAGGCTGAGATGGAATCTGCTCAAATCCTTTCCAGTGAAATGTCACTTGAAATGAAAATGGCAGAGGAATTTTTAGAAAGGCCATCGCTGGGGGAGATTCTTGGAGAGAGAAGAACCTGCCTTCCCCCAAAACTCTGTCAGCCTCAGGGGCTTTTAAAGGTGACATGTAGTATATTAAAATACAGGGATTGATTAATGTGCTAATTGCAGGGGAGAATATAAAATACAATCGTGACTTCAAATACCTTGGAGAAAAGGAATGTTTGAACATCAGGCCCTGGCTGGTGCCAGTGACACGTTAATTGCCAAGTTTTCAACGTGAGGATTTCTGTGCTCCAAGGTAGTTGGAAACTCATCATTACTGGAATCTGATCAACAGGATTCCTCAGCTGCTCTGGAAAACAAATCTCAGCTGGTTTGGTGCCTGTGTGTTTCAGAATCAGAAAACTTAGGAACACAGCTAACTGAGCTTTTCCCCTGGTTTGTGATTGCAAAAATGTGTATGGTTCCATGGGAGAGATCCAGGTAATCTCTACATGCAGCTCCCGTTAAAAATGGAGAGGAGGAGGCAAGCGAGGGAAGGTAAAGTGTGTCAGGAGGGTGGGCAGCGAGGAGCCAGCTGGCACAGCCGCAGTGATGAGCAGGTGATTCCATCAGCGAGGGCAGGCAGAGTTCCCAGCTGCAGGAGGAGCTGCGGTGGCTGTATTAGTGCCAGGGAAGGAGCTCAGTCTGGGGCTGCAGGACATGAAACCGTGAATTAGGAGAGGAGGCTGGTGACAGGCAGAGCTCCTGAGCAGAGTGCAGGCTCGGGGAGAAAAAAGGAGAAAAAGGGAATGGAAGCATGAATGGGAGGCTGGGCTCTGTGCTGGGAACGGTGGGACACAGGGATGGGAGATGGGGGCTGTGCTGGGAACAGTGGGACAGAGGGATGGGAGATGTGCTCTGGGCTGGGAACAGTGGGACAGAGGGATGGGAGATGTGCTCTGGGCTGGGAACAGTGGGACAGAGGGATGGGAGATGTGCTCTGGGCTGGGAACAGTGGGACAGAGGGATGGGAGATGTGCTCTGGGCTGGGAACAGTGGGACAGAGGGATGGGAGATGTGCTCTGGGCTGGGAACAGTGGGACAGAGGGATGGGAGATGTGCTCTGGGCTGGGAACAGTGGGACAGAGGGATGGGAGATGTGCTCTGGGCTGGGAACAGTGGGACAGAGGGATGGGAGATGTGCTCTGGGCTGGGAACAGTGGGACAGAGGGATGGGAGATGTGCTCTGGGCTGGGAACAGTGGGACAGAGGGATGGGAGATGTGCTCTGGGCTGGGAACAGTGGGACAGAGGGATGGGAGATGTGCTCTGGGCTGGGAACAGTGGGACAGAGGGATGGGAGATGTGCTCTGGGCTGGGAACAGTGGGACAGAGGGATGGGAGATGTGCTCTGGGCTGGGAACAGTGGGACAGAGGGATGGGAGATGTGCTCTGGGCTGGGAACAGTGGGACAGAGGGATGGGAGATGTGCTCTGGGCTGGGAACAGTGGGACAGAGGGATGGGAGATGTGCTCTGGGCTGGGAACAGTGGGACAGAGGGATGGGAGATGTGCTCTGGGCTGGGAACAGTGGGACAGAGGGATGGGAGATGTGCTCTGGGCTGGGAACAGTGGGACAGAGGGATGGGAGATGTGCTCTGGGCTGGGAACAGTGGGACAGAGGGATGGGAGATGTGCTCTGGGCTGGGAACAGTGGGACAGAGGGATGGGAGATGTGCTCTGGGCTGGGAACAGTGGGACAGAGGGATGGGAGATGTGCTCTGGGCTGGGAACAGTGGGACAGAGGGATGGGAGATGTGCTCTGGGCTGGGAACAGTGGGACAGAGGGATGGGAGATGTGCTCTGGGCTGGGAACAGTGGGACAGAGGGATGGGAGATGTGCTCTGGGCTGGGAACAGTGGGACAGAGGGATGGGAGATGTGCTCTGGGCTGGGAACAGTGGGACAGAGGGATGGGAGATGTGCTCTGGGCTGGGAACAGTGGGACAGAGGGATGGGAGATGTGCTCTGGGCTGGGAACAGTGGGACAGAGGGATGGGAGATGTGCTCTGGGCTGGGAACAGTGGGACAGAGGGATGGGAGATGTGCTCTGGGCTGGGAACAGTGGGACAGAGGGATGGGAGATGTGCTCTGGGCTGGGAACAGTGGGACAGAGGGATGGGAGATGTGCTCTGGGCTGGGAACAGTGGGACAGAGGGATGGGAGATGTGCTCTGGGCTGGGAACAGTGGGACAGAGGGATGGGAGATGTGCTCTGGGCTGGGAACAGTGGGACAGAGGGATGGGAGATGTGCTCTGGGCTGGGAACAGTGGGACAGAGGGATGGGAGATGTGCTCTGGGCTGGGAACAGTGGGACAGAGGGATGGGAGATGTGCTCTGGGCTGGGAACAGTGGGACAGAGGGATGGGAGATGTGCTCTGGGCTGGGAACAGTGGGACAGAGGGATGGGAGATGTGCTCTGGGCTGGGAACAGTGGGACAGAGGGATGGGAGATGTGCTCTGGGCTGGGAACAGTGGGACAGAGGGATGGGAGATGTGCTCTGTGCTGGGAACAGTGGGACACTGCAGCACGGGGCACCCAGGCTGGGAGAGCATTCCAGCCACGCTGGGAGCACATCCTGCTCCTGGCTGCCTGCAGCAGCACCAGCAGAGTGCCCTGATCGCTGCAATCCAAAGGCTGCAGGGTTTATTGGCTGATTGCAGCTCAATGAGATTGAGGGATAAACGGGATCTGGGCTTAGCTGAGGTTTCTGAGCCGAAAAGAGCAAATCGGGATTAAACCACAAAACAGTTTAATGGGATAGACTGATCTGAGGAACTGGGCTCAGCAGCCCGCTGCAAGGCTCACACTGGGATGCTGAAGGGGCAATGGGAGCTGCCTCGCAGTCCAGAGCAGGGCAGAGGATCATGGAAAGGTTTGGGGTGGGAAACACCTTAAATCCCACCCGGTGCCACGCCTGCCGTGGCAGGGACACCTCCCACTGTCCCAGGCTGCTCCCAGTGTCCAGCCTGGCCCTGGGCACTGCCAGGGATCTGGGGGCAGCCACAGCTGCTCTGGGCACCCTGTGCCTGTGTCCCTGTGCCTTGGGGCAAGTGACTCAGGAAGGTGCAGCCTGTGAGGGGACACAGCTCCTCCCAGTGAGCCCAGAAGGTGTCCAGGAAAATCCCCACCTGCTTTAGGTACTCTGGTAAGATAGCCAAAATTAGGGTGACTAAGCACAGTTCTTGGGAACCTGAATCTAGAGAAAGCTTGAGATTGCTTCTCTTGAATGGTGCCTGAGTTGTTTAAAATTTGATTCCTTGTGCAGTAATGAAAGCCCTGCATTGGCAAGGGCTGAACCTGGGGGAAAACACCCTCCAGGAGGGGATGAGCAGGAGCCTAAGAGAGGGAGCAGGAGGACACGAGGACACGTCCCCAGTGAGGTTTCACCCTGAGGCCCAGCAGGCTCCGGGTGCAGTCTGGGCTGTGGAAGTGCAGCTGGGATGGGACAAGGAGCTCCAGAGCCTGCCAGGGTGCTGCTGAGCCCCGATTCCAGACTGAAGGGGAACACTGGAGCTCCTCCAGTGACCCAGCGTGGGCTGGGAGCTGCTCTGAAGCGTCCCCTGGCCTGACATCCAGCCCAGCCCTGCCACTGCCACGGCACAGCTTCAGGACGGGTGCCTTGACTCACGTCTTATGCAACCCCTCTCCTCCCCAGGAAGTGAGAAGGAACCGATTAAATCTGCCCACACAGCGTCTCTAATGCCTGAGCTGGAAGTGGTGGGAATTATGATGGATATATGGAGCCCTTCCCCAGGTTTTCAGGCAAATCAGGGGAAAGTTCCTTCAAAAAATGTACAGCTAATTATGGATTTTCCAGCTGCGATAATGTTCGAAGGTCTAAGTCTTTAATTAAATCCGAGGTTTACGAGTGAACATTCCTGGTAGGAGTCTGTAGGGAGTAGCCTTTGAATTGGTAAATCAGCTCCTGAATAAACCACTTGTCAAGCTGAAACGCTGCGTTCCCTGAGTTCTGTGCTAAGTTTAAACAAGAAAATAACTGAATTTCATGGAGATGAAAAATGGCAGTGCTGGGAACTGGAGATTTTCTCTCACCCTCAGGTGCAGTGTAGCTCCTGCAGAACGTTTTCTGTCTGTGCCACCCCATCAGCTGCTGCTGCTGCTGCTCCAGCAGTGGAATTGTTCATGCTCCATCAGCCCCTGCTCTCTGTGCTGCCCCAGCTGCCCCAGACACATCCACGGCCCCTGGCAGGGTGGGCAGCCCTGGCACAGGGTGCCCAGAGCAGCTGGGGCTGCCCCTGGATCCTGGCAGTGCCCCAGGCCAGGCTGGATGGAGCTTGGAGCAGCCTGGGAGGTGTCCCTGCCATGGCAGGGGTGGCCCTGGGTGGTGTTTGCAGTCTCTTCCAACCCAAACCATTCCATGATTCTTTAACAGTGTACTGGAGCATTTCAGGCACTTGAGACCCAGATGTGCCAGGACTGCCCACGTCCTCCCCCTGGCCTCCCTGATCCAGCCTGCAGCAGCACCAGAGCTCTGGGCTGGGCCTGGGGAAGCCATGGCATCTGTCTTCTAGCTCTTTTATATCTCTTTTATACCTATTTTATATCCTTTTACATCTGGTTTCTATCTGTTTTATATCTCTTGCTATCTGTTTTCTATCTCTTTTCTATCTCTTTTATTGTTTAATGCCTGAAACACTGACAAGTGTTCAGTTTGCAGTGTGTTCTGCACTGGCAGGCTGGCAGGCTGCCCGTCACCCCTGTGCCCTGGTGGCACTCAGGGGCTCAGAGCTGTTGGTTTATATCTGTTTTATGTCTCTTTCATATCTGTTGTCTGTTTTTCTATCTCTTTTATTGTTTAATGCCTGAAACACTGACAAGTGTTCAGTTTGCAGTGTGTTCTGCACTGGCAGGCTGGCAGGCTGCCCGTCACCCCTGTGCCCTGGTGGCACTCAGGGCTCAGAGCTGCAGAGCACGCTTTGGGCCGTGCTCCCTGAGCTTGGAGCCAGCTGCTCTCTGTCCTCTGTCCAGCAGGCCGTGTGTCCAGAGGGGCCCCCTGGCCAGCGGGGTTCTGTGCTCAGCCCTCTCCCCTCAGCCCTCTCCCCTCTTTGGCCCCCTGTCCCTCTGACTCCCCGTCCTTCTCCAAGTGTCCCAGTCCCAGCCCACCCTGGAACTCTGCTCCACGTCCCATGCAGGGAGCGTGGCTGCACTGGAGCGTGGAGTTATGGAAAGTTCAGCTCCCTCAGCACAGACTAATCCGAGCCCTGCTGTGTGAGCTCTCCCTGTAATCTGTGGGGGGAAATCAGAGTCTTTTAGGGCATGAGTCAGCTAATCTGTTTTAGTCTCTATTTTGGGAGGAGATGAAGCATGTCCTCAAATTTGCTGTTCTTCTCTGTTGACTTCAAAGGGAGCCCAACGTGACTTGCTGGAATGGAGGTGTCTGTGCAAGGCAAGTCTATCTTTGGGCAGATGGATCTCACAATGAAGAGGAAGGGTGACTTCATCCATCATCTGTGCATTCTTTTGAGGGATCCATTCAGTTTCAAGCTCTGCTACCTGGCTGAGGCGCTGCTCACTCCTTGTGTCCCTTTCTTTGCTCTGCTTCTTGCCAAGGACAGGATCTCGCCTGCCACTCCCAGGGATGCATGGACAAAGTGTGTGGTGGCCCTTCCCTGCCTCTGGAGCTCCCCTGCCTGCCCCTCTTCTCCTCTTAGGCAGAGTTTCCTGTGCTGCCAGGCTTCCCTCCGGCACCTCACACTGCCTCCTTGGCCGTCCCTTTCACCCCTGCCCTGCCCCACACCCCATCCGTGACTGAGAATTTCTCCCCACAGCCACATTAGGTTCTCTCACGGCCAAAGCCCCCCACCCCGACCCCCACGGACACCCCCATTCCTGCCCCATCCCCTCCAGGGTCCCTGAGCACAGGGAACTGTTCCTGCCACGCACTGAGGAGTTCCAGGGCTTGGCAGATCCACCTGCACCAGACTGCTCAGGACTTTGTCCAGTGAAGGTCTGAATTCCTCCAAGGATGGACATGCCAAGCCTGTCCTGGATTCTTCCAGTGCCCATCCCTTCCAAGGGATAAGGGATGCTCATTCCAGCATCCCTCATGAAAGTTAGATGGATAAAATGTTAAAAACTTAAATGTCGAAAGCAGTGCTTCATCCTCACCTTCCCTGAGTCAGTTCCAGAGGTTACACTGACCTTGAAGTCTTCTCCTTCCCTGGGATCTTCCTTTTCCTCAAGTGCCTCTTAGGGCAGATGCCTTCAGTGTGGGCTTTGGAGGATTTTCTCTCCCCTTCGAGAGAACTGGGCCTGCTCCAGCCGTGTGTGCTGGGCCCCAGAACTCCCAGCCCGGGGCTGGTCCCAGCAGGAAGGTGGGAATGGTGTCCCGGGCAAGGAATTGCTGGCTGGGCTGGAATTCCCAGATTAGCTGTGACTGTCCCCGTGTCCCTGGCAGTGCCAGGGCCAGGCTGGGCACTGGGGCTGGAGCAGCCTGGCGTGGTGGCAGGCTGGCAGAGGGCTGGAAGTTCCCGGTCCTTGGGGTCCCCTCCTCCCTGTCCCTGCATCCCTGGCAGTGCCAGGGCCAGGCTGGGCACTGGGGCTGGAGCAGCCTGGCGTGGTGGCAGGCTGGCAGAGGGCTGGAAGTTCCTGGTCCTTGGGGTCCCCTCCTCAGCCCTTCCCGGGCTCCCCAGCAGCCCCAGCTCTGCTCCCCCGTTCCCTGGGAGCTGCTCCAGCCCCTCGTGCCCTTCCCCACCCCTGCTGTGCTGCCGTTCCTGCAGGAGTCCGGCCAGCAGAGCTCTGCCCTCCCTGTCCCCTCCTGCTCCATCTGTCCGGCCCCATCTGTTCTGCTCCCCAGCCCTCTCAGACACAAACTGTGCTTTTTGTTCTGGCTCTGAGCAGCCAGAGCTCAGCCTGGCCTGGCTGGGGCTAACGGGCACCTTCATGAGGAAATCCAGTCAATAAACCATATTTTATACCATTTCTACAGAAATAAGAGTTGCTCTCATTGAACCCACACCACTGGGGGCCTGCATGAGCAAGAAGAGAAGCCTTGAATTTGTCCCAGACCTGGGCTCCCCAAATCCTCCCCAGGGTAACGAGTGACTGCCTCAGTTTAGACCATCTGATCATGCTGGAATTGCTGAAGTTATAATTATAAACCTCCAAAGTAAGAGCAATAACGTGCAACTGGAGCTCATTTTCAGACTTGGCTGAGAAAAGGCTGTAACCAGACTGAGCAAATTTAATTTAGGTAAATTAAGGGTTTAAATTTAGCCTGGTAACTAAAATCCCACAAATCACAAACCCTCACTCCCTGTTAATTGCATGAGCATCCTCTTATTATTTCTTGCTTTCTGACCAGTCAGAAAATCCTCATCCCAGTATTAGTCATGCCCTGGGTGTCTGGGAACTTGTAATATTTTACATTGTCTTTCTTTCTTTCTTCATGGGAAGGTTTTTTATTGCTTTACTATTAAAGTACAGTACAGGGCTATTTTGGGACAGAAACCTTTAAAATTAACTGAGTTTTTATACTTTGTAAAAATGAGACCTACCTGAGGAACTATTCAATGCTCATTCTTCAATTTAGTACTGAGTACCTGAAGCAGTAAAAGATTTTGCTCTTAATCATATTAATGAACTTGATTATTTTAGGAGCCCAGGCTGCCAAGCAGGTTATCTATTTCAGTCTGTAACTGCATCATAAATTAACGGAGCAATTAAAGCAAACGTGGAGCCAATAACAAATGTGTGAAGGGTTTCACAGCTGGGCAGGGGGAATGCTGTGAGAGCAGCAGGGCTCCAGGAAGGGGTTTGAGAGGAACCACGGTCCCCGTTGGTCATTCCCAGTGCAGGCACAAAGGAAACGGCATTTCCTTGCACAGAAGCTAGGACTGTGAGATGTTTTCTGCATGGACTGTTTATTTTATTCCCTGTTGAAGGGGTAATGACTTTAAACTGAAAGAGGGAAGGTTTAGATGGGATATTGGGAAGGAATTCCTCTTGTGAGGCCCTGGCAGAGTCCCACATTTGCTGTGGCTGCCCCTGCATCCCTGGCAGTGCCCAGGCCAGGCTGGACACTGGGGCTGGAGCACCCGGGACAGTGGGAGGTGTCCCTGCCATGGCAGGGTGGCACTGGGGGGGATTTGAGGTCCTTCCCACCAAGACCACTCCATGATTCCATACTTATGGGGTACGTATCCCAAATGCAGATTAACTCCAGAGAAATACAACAATAAAATCAGTATTTATGCCTTGTGTATGGGATACGTATCCCAGAAATGTTTCACCTTTTGGATGCAGATTAACTCCAGAGAAATGCAACAATAAAATCAGTATTTATGCCTTGTGGCTGTAGAAATCCCAGCCAGCAGCAGAGTGCTGAGCACCCCGAGGGGAGGAGGAGGGTTTTGTTATTCAGTTGTCCACCAAAGCCTGGCACAAGGAGCAGCTCTGGGCTGGGCACAGCCACCTCTCCAGGGGCTTGGGCTGTTCAGAAGTGCTGGGACGTTTGGCTTCAGCACCAAAGCAGCCTTTAGGGAGCAGCTTCCTCTGCAATTCCCACTGTGGGAGCCACTGGGAGCTCCTAATTATTGCAACAGGGAATGGCTGGCTTGGGAGGGACCTCAGAGCGGGCCCAGTGCCACCCTGCCATGGCAGGGACACTGCCACTGTGCCAGGCTGCTCCGGCCCCGGTGGGGAATGGGAATGGGAATGGGAATGGGAATGGGGAATGGGAATGGGAATGGGGAATGGGAATGGGAATGGGGAATGGGAATGGGAATGGGAATGGGAATGGGAATGGGAATGGGGATGGGAATGGGAATGGGAATGGGAATGGGAATGGGGAATGGGAATGGGGAATGGGAATGGGAATGGGAATGCTCCCATGGCAGGTTTCCTCCTCACAGCCCCTGCTTCCCTGGAGCTCTGCCTGAGCCCAGAGCCAGCCGGGCTGGGGGCAGTGATCCCCAGCCCTCAGCCATCATGTTCTGAACCATTCCTGCCCATCCTGTGCCTCAGATGGATCCCAGAGTTTGCAATTGGGAATGGGAATGGGAATGGGAATGCTCCCATGGCAGGTTTCCTCCTCACAGCCCCTGCTTCCCTGGAGCTCTGCCTGAGCCCAGAGCCAGCCGGGCTGGGGGCAGTGATCCCCAGCCCTCAGCCATCATGTTCTGAACCATTCCTGCCCATCCTGTGCCTCAGATGGATCCCAGAGTTTGCCAGCCCAGCTGTGAGCTGCCCAGGAAGAGCTCAGTTACTCACCCGTGCCACTGAGAGCTGGTGAAGGCTCCTGGCACTCCATGCTGGGCTGCCAGCCTCGAGCTGAAGGGTGATAAAAGAAAGATGAGAGGAAACGAAATGTGAGATGATTGATAAAAATATAATTCCGCTGATAATTCCATCTGGCAGACTAATAACTCGCTGGTAATGTTTTTTTTATAATAATACCTCCTGCTTACATAACAGCTCCTATATGTGGCTTCTAAAGTCGTTTGTAAGTATTAATTAAAGCCCAAAGCAGCCGTGTGAGGCAGATGGGAATTCACATCCCCTCTCGCTGTCTCCACTCCCGCATTCCACAGGCAGGGAGCTTGGCAGGGCTGGCTGCAGGCCAGATGCAGCCTGCTGTGACCAGAGCAGCCCCTGTCCCCTGTCCCCCTGGGCAGGAGCAGGAGAGGGTTTGGGATCTCCTGCCAGCCCTGCTCCCTGCAGGAATCAGATCCAGGAGAGGGTTTGGGATCTCCTGCCAGCCCTGCTCCCTGCAGGAATCAGATCCAGGAGAGGGTTTGGGATCTCCTGCCAGCCCTGCTCCCTGCAGGAATCAGATCCAGGAGAGGGTTTGGGATCTCCTGCCAGCCCTGCTCCCTGCAGGAATCAGATCCAGGAGAGGGTTTGGGATCTCCTGCCAGCCCTGCTCCCTGCAGGAATCAGATCCAGGAGAGGGTTTGGGATCTCCTGCCAGCCCTGCTCCCTGCAGGAATCAGATCCAGGAGAGGGTTTGGGATCTCCTGCCAGCCCTGCTCCCTGCAGGAATCAGATCCAGGAGAGGGTTTGGGATCTCCTGCCAGCCCTGCTCCCTGTGGGAATCACATCCCGAGGGAGGATTTGGGACCCTCCTGCCAGCACTGCTCCCTGTGGGAATCAGATCCAGAGGGAGGGTTTGGGATCCTGGCCATGGTCTAACAAAGAAAAGCTCCCCCGTGGGTTTCAGGGTGCAGAAGCACAACTCCCAAGCTGAAGCAGAGCAGGCACACAAGGTGACCAGCTGTCCTGCCAGCACGTGGCTGTCCCTCCTGGATGGCCCTGAGCTCCCACAGGGGCACTGGGCTCAGGCAGCGGAGCCTCAGGAGCATCCACAGCCCCTGAGCTGGCTAAACTGGGCCCTAAACTGGGCCCTAAACTGGGTGCTTCCCTTTGCTGGGCTCCTTTTACCCCACCTGAGCAAATCAGGCGTGTGTGGGACACAGACACGGAGCCCGTGTGCAGCACAGAACTTCATCTCCAGATTTAAAATCAATTTTGCCATTGCCCTGGGCAGGTGCTGCTGCTGAGCCAAATGGTCCCAGTGACTCCTTGAGGGCTCTTTTCAGCTGCACAGACAAAATGCAGCCCCAGTTGAGAGGGGTCCCCCAGTGACCCACAGAGGTCCTGGTTTGCACCCCTAAAGCCAGGCCCAGATTTGCAGCCCTAAAGCCAGGCCCAGATCCCAGCTTTGTCCATGCCCACCTCAGCCCATTCCCTGCCGAGTCACCTTGGCTGTGCTGCCCCAACCTTTCTGTGCACAGCTCCCTTCGATGCAGAAACCCATCTGAAATGGGGATTGATTCAAAAAGTGCATTTCATTTCTCTCCTGCCCGTTCCAGTCCCAGGCTGGCACTGCACACATCTCTGTCAGAGCTGTCAGCAGGAACCTGAGATGGAGACTTGTGTCTGGGAGATCCTTCTGAGTATGGGGGTGTGAACCCGCACCTGGCAGGTGTCAGACATCCATCCTCATCCCCTGGGCTGCCTCAGAGTCCATCATCCATCCATCATCCATCCATCCATCCATCCATCCATCCATCCATCCATTCCCATCCCCTGGGCTGCCCCAGGGTCCCTAAGCTCAGCTCCCTTGGCCACCAGGCTCAGGTGACTGCACATCCATCCCACTGCTGCTCCCACTCCACATTTTACAGGAATAAAGTAACTCCTGGGAGCCTTGGGCAGCTTCAGCCAGGGGGCCACGAAGATGAGGAAGAGTCCAGGGGGAACCACGTGAGGGATGGCTGAGGGCACGTGGGACATTCAGAGCAGAGAAGACTGAGGGCAGAGCTCAGCAGGGACAGCTCTGACCTCTGGGACAGGGACAGGGACAGGGACAGGGACAGGGACAGGGACAGGAACGCTGGGGCTGGGCCAGGGCAGGTCAGGCTGAGAGCAGGAAAGGCTCTTCCCCAGAGGGTGCTGGCACTGCCCAGGGAATGGGCACGGCCCCGAGGCTGCCAGAGCTCCAGGAGCGTTGGGACTCTGCTCCAGGGATGGCCAGGGTGGGATTTTGGGGTCTGGGCAGGGACAGGAGCTGCACTGGGTGATCCCTGTGGGTCCCTCCCAGCTGAGGATTTTCTATAATTTTATAACCCAAATGTTGTGAATGTCCCAAGCATGGGAAGGATTTTGTAGAGTCTCCTCATGAGAGCCCTGGGAGGTATCAGGGGACCCAGTTCAGAGCTGCAGCTCTGCAGGACCTCAGACCTCCCTGGTCTCCCCGGCGCTGCCCCCTGCTCACCCCCTGTCCATCCCCACCTGCCTGGGCTGACACTCTCCCATCTCCCAGACAATTCTTTATGTCAGAAGTTGCCCTTCCCACCCCCATCTCCTTCCCAGCCCCTTTTCCCTCTGTTGCCCTTTCCCTGCTGGGTTCCCATTCCCTGACGTGCCCACGAAGTGCCAGCCCCAGCCTGAGCTCTGTGGCAGCTCTGAGTCACTGCTCCTGGCTCAGCACAGATCCTGCACCACGTCACTCCTGGACTCAGCTACAGCGGGAATCGCAGGAGCCGTGTCCCCTCAGGTGGATTTTCCAGCTGCCATTTTTGGCCATGGGATCCCCAGGATGTGCCTGTGGAAATCAGCTCTGGTGGCCCGAGTGCTGTGGGCGTGTGGGACTCCTCAGCAATCCTCAGCAGGGTTTCTGTGCCTTGCCTTGCCTGAGCTGCTTGTCATCCACCCTGCTCAGATTTTAGAAGCTCCTTTGAAAATCCCTGTGACCCGAATTTGGGGTTTTCTGTAGCAGAACAAAGCCCAGGTCAGGAAGGGGCTGGAATCCCTGGATTGGGAAGGAGCAGTCCCTGCAGTGGAGCTGAGCCAAAGGGTCACAATGGCCAAGGGGCAGGCAGGGCAGGCAGGGGCCAGGGCAGCTGCAGAGCACAGGGGATGTGCCCTTCGGAGAGCCCCAGCATGGCTGGGTGGGAAGGGACCCCAAAGCCCACCCAGTGCCACTCTGCCATGGCAGGGACTCCTCCCACTATCCCAGGGTGCCCCAGCCCAGTGTCCAACCTGGCTTGGGCACTGCCAGGGATGCAGGGGCAGCCACAGCAAATCTGGGAATTCCAGCCCAGCCCCTGCCCACCCTCCCAGGGAACTCACAGAACTCAACTCATAGAATCACACAATCACAGGATCACAAAACTCACAGAACTCAACTCATAGAACTCATAGAATCATAGAATCACAAAATCACAGAAATCACAGAAATCACGGAACCACAGAACTCACAGAATCACAGAATGACCAGGTTGGAAGAGACCTTCAAGATCATCGAGTCCAGCCCAGCCCAACACCTGAGCTAAACCCTGGCCCCCCGTGCCACATCCAGGCTTTGTTAAACACCCCCAGGGATGGGGACTGCACCACCTCCCAGGGCAGAACATTCCAGAACTTTATCCCCCTTACTGGAAAAGCTCTTTCCTAAAACCCAGCCTGAATTTCCCCTGGCCCAGCTGCAGGCTGTGTGCTCTGGGTGTGTCAGTGCCTGCAGCCAGAGCCCAGCCCAGCTGAGCACAGGCACCTTCCAGGAGCTCTGGGGTCCCTCCCAGCCCAAGCCATGCCGTGGCTCTCCACTTTTGGAGTGTGAGGATCTGTGACAATGCACAGCACACACAGGGGTTCTGCACGGAGCACAAAGGCTCTGAACACCTCTGGGGAGTCACAGCCCCAGCCTGGCCCTTCCAGGGAAGGGTAACTCAGCAGCAGCCAGCTCCATGAGTCAGCTCCTCGTGTCAGATGGCTCCGGGGCCTGCCTTGGCCCTGGCATTCCGTGGAAATGGGAATGTGCTCCCTGTTTTCCATGAACTTAACCATGACAAAGGGGAAGTGAAACCTGGCAGTCACCAACCGTTCCAGGCTCGGCTCAGGCAGGACCTGACACCTGGAAAGCAGCCCAGCACTTCACGGAGCACACAGAGAACCAGCAAACCTCACCCACCACTCACTGCCGAGTGCAGGGAGAGCTGCAGGCACCAGCAGAAAGTGCCCAGTCACCCCCTCTGATGTCACTGCCTCACAGCCTTGCACCACGGGAAGGTCACAGCCGTGCCAGCAAAATGTGACCTCATTTCATCTCCTGCAAAACAGGCATGTGTCTTCCTTGGAAATCCTCGAGCTTCCAGTGCTTCCCGGGCTTTACAGCTTTTACTACCAGTGTTTGAAGGTGAAGTCTGAAAAAAGGGGAAGAAAAAGAAGAAAATGCCATGTGGAGGTTAAAATAGAAAATATTTAAATGTTCTGTACCAGAAGGGCTTGTTTCAGAGCTAAGAGTAAATAGTCATGAGCATATTCAGACCCTGAGGACACTGGGATTACACCTTAGACAAAGCAGGAAATTCAGGAAATGGGTATTTCCTGAGAAATCCACTTCACTTCTTCCACTGGGAAAAGAGGAAAGGAGCATTTGCACCAGTCAGTCCCCGAGGAAACACAGCTGTGCACAGCACCAAGGTCTGTGTGAGTGAAGGCAGAGGCAGGGCAGGCCCACCCCGGTGGTCAGGGCAGGAATGGGTGTTGGGCATCATCCAGCCCAGTTCCAAGCCCCCATCCCCGCTGGGTGGGGCATTTTCACCCCACGGAAACCACTTCTTCACATTACTGAATTCATCTCACTGTTCCTCTGCACCAGGGCATCAGAAAACCTTCCTGGTTCAGCCCAGAGCAGCTGGGGCTGCCCTGGATCCCTGGCAGTGCCCAGGCCAGGCTGGACACTGGGGCTGGAGCACCTGGCACAGTGGGAGGTGTCCCTGCCACGGCAGGGTGGCACTGGGTGGGCTTTGGGGTCCCTCCACCCCAAACCTTTCCAGGAGTCCCTCCCAAAGCTGTCTCCTGGGAGGAGTCTGGAGCCTCAGCCAGCAGGGCTGGATGACCCAGGGCTCTGAGCACTCAGCTGATTCCCTCTCCAGAGCTGGCAGGGCGTGGAGTGAGGATGTTCAGCCGGGTCCTTTCAGGAGTGAGGATGTTCAGCCGGGTCCTTTCAGGAGTGAGGATGCTCAGCTGGGTCCTTTCAGGAGTGAGGATGTTCAGCCAGGTCCTTTCTCCTCCTGGAGTGAGGCTGTTCCACCAGGTCCTTCCCTTTGTGGAGTGAGGATGTGCCACCAGGTCCTTTCTCCTCCTGGACTGAAGATGTCCAACCAGGTCCTTTCCCTTCCTGGAGTGAGGATGTTCAGCCAGGTCCTTTACTGGAGTGAGGATGTCCAACCAGGTCCTTTCCCCTCAGGAGTGAGGATGTCCAACCAGGTCCTTTCATTTCCTGGAGTGAGGATGTTCAGCTGGGTCCTTTCAGGAGTGAGGATGTGCCACCAGGTCCTTTCCCTTCCTGGAGTGAGGATGTCCAACCAGGTCCTTTCCCATCAGGAGTGAGGATGTTCAGCCAGGTCCTTTACTGGAGTGAGGATGTCCAACCAGGTCCTTTCCCCTCAGGAGTGAGGATGTTCAGCCAGGTCCTTTCCCCCCAGAGGCCAAGGCAGATCCAGGCATGGGACACTCCTGATTTCCTCACAGAGCCCGGGGTGGGCTCTGCCCTGCAGGTCCCAGGGCTGGGCAGCCAGCATGGCACTGGGGTGAAATCCCTGCAGGGAGAGCTGCATCCCAGGGGCCATTCCCAGAGCTCCGTGGGAGCTGGCTGGATGTGCCCAGACCCTGCTCCCCCCAGCTCCCAGCCCGTCCTGGCACTGGGGATGCAGAGGAGCAGAGGGAAGGGCAGGGCCCGGCCAGGATTCCCTGGATCAGGAGCTGGGATGCAGCCAGAGCGTGGGAGAGACACGGCTCAGGGCTTCCAGAGGATTTCCCAGCTCAAATAAAGCCTCTGTGTGGCACAGAGGGACTGCCTAACCCAGATTCTGGGAATCACAGCAGCCAGGGCTGAGGGCTAGCACTGCTCCCCGACCTGAAAGCAGAAATCATTTCAAAAATGGGAAATAAAATTCTTTTCTTTGTATGCAGACCCAGAGGTCTGGGGAGTCACCTTTGTGTTACCTGAATGCTTTGGGTCCACAGCTCTGACTGAATCCTCATTTCTGGGCATTTTCCCTGTCTGCAAGGTAGGAAAATTGTTGTTTTTTCACCCAAATTTGGTGATTTTTTTCCTCGGAGGAGGTTTAAAGGGCCAGCACTAAAAAGGTGATCAAGCTTTGGCAGTGTCTCCTCTCAGGAGCACCACTTTTCATTTTTATTTATCTACTGCCCCAGAATTCCTTGAAGCAGACTCAGCTCCTTCTCCTGTTTATTTTTAGTTGTGAACTGGAGCAGGGAAGGAGGAATCAGCGTGAGCTGAGCCTGCATCTGTCATTCCTGGCTGTCACCTCACGCCAGCCCCGTGCCTGCCCCCTGCCCGCACCCAGCAGCACCCCCAGCGAGCCCATGCTGCTCTGCTCAGGGCACGAGGGGCTCACAGGAGGAGCCCCCAGACCCCCACAGCTCAGCAGGCTCCAGCACTGCCCTTGCACCAGCACCGGGCTCTCCTGCCAGGGTTCCTGCAGAGACACCCGGTGCTTCGTGCTAATTCTGTTTACCTGTGCTTGGCAGGGCCAGGCCCTGCTCTGTCCCTCTGGGGTGACCCAGGAGTGCCCCCAAATCCCTGTGACCCCAGAGTCCCCTGGGGCCACCCAGCAGAGCCCTGGGCACACAGCAGGGGGACAGGAGCGTTCCCTTCATCTCCTGGAGAATTCAGCAGGGCTTGGAGCTCCAGAGAGGAGAGTCCTGGAGGGCACCTGGGGAAAACCTGTCCTGGGCCATGGCCCAGGAGGGGCTGGAGGAGCTGGGAAGGGGCGGGACAGGGGCAGTGGTGGCCTGGGCTGTGATGGGAGAAGAACTGGACTCGATGGTCCTGGAAGGGCTTTTCCAATCAAACAATTCTGGGATTCTGTGTTTGTGCACCCAGTGAAGTGGCCTGGGATGCTGCAGAGGTTGCAGTTAATTCCATGCAGTCAATCCCATGCAGTTATCAATTCCCTGCAGTTAATCAATGCCATGCAGTTGTCAATTCCCTGCAGTTAATCAATGCCATGCAGTTGTCAATTCCCTGCAGTTAATCAATGCCATGCAGTTAATTGCAGCCCCCTGCAGCCCCGGGTGCTTTGCTGTAACCATGCCCCCTCAGCTCCCCCTCGCTGTGATCAGCAGCAGGGAACACACACCTGGCCAGCCCTGCTCTGAAGTGCATTGATCCAGCAGCTTTTCATTTGGGAGAGTTATTTGCCTCCTTGACCAGCTCATTGCTCCTTGTCAGGAAAGCTTCCAAGAAGGTGGAGAGCGCTCTCCAGAATCGTTAATCAGAGCAGCAGGGAGATTTACAAACTCTGCTCTCCGTGCAATAAACCCGCCGGGCTCCCAGGGCAGCTCGGTGCCATCCATCCCTCCTCAAACGAGCCGGCTGCAAGGCAGGCAGCGCACCCGGCCAGCCCTGGCTCACTGCTGTGGCTGCAGCCCGACCCAGCTCCAGGAGCCAGCATGAAGCGAGAGCAGCCCTGCTTGTCAGCATTAATTACCTTAGCAAAACTCCCTGCTAGTGATGCCAAAGGCTGGGAGTGCAGGGACACTCATGGAACTCCTAAATGAGCTGCTTTGGTGTGTGATTAGGAACACTCTGAGCTCTAGTGTGGGGTGGGAATGAACACAAATTGAATCTCTTCTGCAGCCCCTTCCCAGCTCCCTCAGGGATTCTGCAGCCCCTTCCCGGCTCCCTCAGGGATTCTGCAGCCCCTTCCCGGCTCCCTCAGGGATTCTGCAGCCCCTTCCCGGCTCCCTCAGGGATTCTGCAGCCCCTTCCCAGCTCCCTCAGGGATTCTCCAGCCCCTCCCCAGCACTGGAGGTGCCCGGCAGTGCCAGCACAGGGGACGAGGGCACTGCCCTGGCCCTGCTGGCACAGCCCAGGTGCCCGTGGCTCTTGCCCGGCGCTGTCACGGCCCCAGGCCCTCTCCCGGGATGCTCCCACGGATGCTGTGCCAGCCTGCAGGACCGGGCTCGCCCGCTCCCGTCCCGGCAGCGCTCCCAGCCCGTCCCAGTCCAGCCTCAGTTCCCAGTAATGCCCGTGGGCACCGGGACTGGGAACGGGCTGGCTGCCCGGGCAGGAGGGGCAGGGAGGGCACAAAGCCACCTGGGGGCTTTTTCCTGTCCCGGGGCGAGGAAAGGGCTCCTCCCTGCCCGGCCAGCTCAGCCCCCGTGCCCTGTCCCTGCCGGGGCCGACTGCCATGGCTCATTAAGGGTTGGTTGATCTGAGGGCAGGGCTGGGTTTGCGCCTCGTCCGGGCGTGTCCTGCACACCTCATTGTCCCCACACACCTCAGTGTCACACCTGTGCCATCCCAGCACACCTCACTGTCCCCACACACCTCATTGTCCCTGCACAACTCATTGTCCCCAAAAAACTCTTTTCCTGCAGCCCCCGTGCCCTGTCCCTGCCGGGGCTGACTGCCACGGCTCATTAAGGGTTGGTTGATTGATCTGAGGGCAGGGCTGGGTTTGCGCCTCGTCCGGGCGTGTCCTGCACACCTCATTGTCCCCACACACCTCAGTGTCCCCACACACCTCAGTGTCCCCAAAAAACTCTTCCATCCTGACACACCTCACTGTTCCCGCACACCTCATTGTCCCCACACACCTCATTGTCCCCACACACCTCAGTGTCACACCTGTGCCATCCCAGCACACCTCACTGTCCCCACACACCTCATTGTCCCTGCACAACTCATTGTCCCCAAAAAACTCTTTTCCTGACACACCTCGTTGTTCCCCACACACCAGATTGTCACCTGTGCCATCCCCACACACCTCATTGTCCCCACACACCTCAGTGTCACACCTGTGCCATCCCAGCACACCTCAGTGTCCCCAACACACCTCATTGTCCCCACACACCTGTGCCGTCCCTGTACACCTCATTGTTCCCAACAAACTCTGCCATCCTGACACACCTCATTGTTCCCAAAGCACCTGTACCACCCCAACACATCTCACTGTCCCCAATGCACCTGGGCCATTCCA